CCAGGCCCAGCCACGCTGACACATAACCTTAACTCCCACAACCGCATGACGTGGGTGAATTTGGAGGCCATTACACTGAGTGAAATAAGACCCCCACTTCCCTTTTAGATGGGGAAGTTGAGGCCCGGAGAGGTAAAGGGCCTAGGCCAAGGATTGTGGATTTAGATCTGCACCTCTGGATGTCTGGCTGAGGCCTTCACCCTCAACCCTCACTCCCCTCAGCCCCTCCCCCATCCGAGGAGCAGGCTCTGGGCTCTAAACTGAGATGGGGCTTGATTGACACTCCCCCTGCTGGGCTCTCACCTGAGGTGCTGGCAGAGGCGTTAAGTGGGGCACAGCTGGGGCTGGGAGGAGGGAAGGCAAGGGGCACAGCTTCCCAGACAGCCCTGTGGGAGAGTCAGTGTCAGGAACACCCCAATACCCCCCGGTTATCAGCCCCAAGGTGGACAGTGGCCTTGGGCCGGGAGCAGGCACTTTCTGAGGCCCAGGAGGACGAGTGGGGTCAGAGGACCCCTCTCTGGTGATCCCTGTTTCTCCCCCCTCCCACCCCATGAGAAAGGCAGAAGTGCATGAGCTGATGTTGAAGGCCACGTGTACCCTGGAACCTGGCTGGGAAGGGATGGTGGCATAGGGCGCGGCTCAGAGTTTGAGGGTAGCCTGGGGAAGCGTGAGGGGCCAGAGACCCTCTCTCTGGGCAGCTTCTGGCGGGCTCGCTGTTAAGGCTGAGGTGTCCTGGGAAACAGCACACACCCAGGGAAGGGTAGTGTCTCATGTGTGAACACAACCCCTAAAAAAGACACAGGAGCGCTTTCTCGGGCTAAGTATAGCTGGCGAGTGTGAGAGGTGGGTGGGGAGCCGGTGTTGGGGGAGCCGATGCGCCAGGATGGAGGTACACCCTCTCTCGGAGCCCCCTCTAGAGGAGCTGAAGGAAACTGTCTCACACAGAGGGCACCAGACTCTACAGTTTGTCAGGGGCAGAGGCGGGGGGCACATGGATGAGTTCTAGAGCTCGCCCAACTGGGTTCCCTACTGAGTTTTCTAGGGTGAGTACTGAATGAACAAATGTAGGGAGACGGGCCTGGCCTGTTGCTATTATTACTACATAATCATTACTGATCCGGGTTTGAATCCTGCCTCCTCTACTCATCAGCTGTGTGACCTTGGGTAAGTCCCTTGACATCTCTGAGCTTCCACTTCCTCATCGGTTAAGTGGTGATCATGATCGTGCCTCCCTCCTGTGTGCCCTGGCACAAAGCCAGCTCTGAGGAACTTTGGCTAAATCTGAATGTGAGGTCCTGTCGTGTTAACCCATTTTCCTAACTGAGGCCTAGAGAGGCAAAGAGATTTCCAAGTTCACACAGCTGGTCCCTGGCTGACCAGGATGGTCTCACCTGCTCCGTCCAACTTCCGCTCGCCCGTGCTGCCTGAGTGTCCCCAGCTGGGAAAGGGGTGCCGGGCCCTCACCTGCCGCTTCTCCCGGCAGGACGTGAAGTACCTGGCCATTAGCGGCTTCCTCTTCCTGAGATTCTTTGCACCTGCCATCCTCACCCCGAAGCTCTTTGATCTCCGGGACCAGCACGCGGACCCCCAGACCGGCCGCTCACTGCTGCTGCTCGCCAAGGTGTCTGCCGCAGACGCTCCCATCCCTGAGGCTGATCTCAGCCAGGGAAAAGCGTGGTAGGAACAAAGCTGGGAGGCCAGACCCCCAGGAGACCCACCTGAGACCCAGGGACTCATGTGGGTAGCACCATTGTTAGCATTCCACCCTGGGGGTGAAGGCAAATCTTTATGCTCTCCAAAGTCCTCTTTTGGAATGAAGCCCCTACTTCATTTGCAGGCTAGCAGTCATTTACACTTTAGTAAGAAATAGCCCTTCCTCTGCAAAGTGGCAACATCTTGAGGTTCTGATGGGCTCCAGAGTATGCATGATAGGATTGGGCAGTGCTAGGTAGGGAGATCTAGGCTTGGTGGGGGCAAGATAAGGGCAATGGGGGTAAAGATTCCACAAGGTGAAGGGAGCAAATGCATATTTCCCAGGACAGGCTCTGCTATGTTTCCTCTCCTTTGTTGAGTACTGATTTGGGAGTCAGGAGTGTGAGACTGTGTTTGGGGCCCATGGGGGGCCTTCCCTTCCCCTGCACCCTACCCCCCTCAGCGCCCTTGACCTCTGTACGCCCTGCCCCCTCAGCACCCTTGACCTCTGCACGTCCTGCCCCTCTGCTCCAGGCTGTGCAGAGCATTGGTAACCTGGGACAGCAGCTGGGTCAAGGCAAGGAGCTGTGGATGGCCCCCCTACACCCCTTCCTGCTGCAGAGTATCTCCCGTGTGAGAGACTTCCTGGACCGGCTGGTGGACGTGGAAGGGGAGGGCGGTGAGTTCCCAGGTCCTGCCCCACCTGGCTTGTCACCCACTAGGCCCTCAGGACCTGCCTTGCCTCCCTGCCCAGCACTGAGAATGGGGACTCAGCTAACATCTCCTGGCACCTACTATGTTAGGTCCTCAAGATGGACAGGGCACAGGTCCTGCCCTGCAGGCCATTCCAACCAATAAGGGGTGGGCAGGACCATGGCACAGGGTGCATTCAATCAACAAGAAAACTGGGGGGAGGCAGTGGTTAAGCAATTTGTTGCTAACTGGAAGGTCAGCTGTTGGAACCTACCAATGGCTCAGTGGGAGAAAGATGTGGCAGTCGGTAAAGATGACAGCCTTGGAAACCCTGTGGGGCAGTTCTACTCTGTCCTCTAGGGGCACTGTGAGTCAGAATTGACTCCACAGCAGTGGGTTTGGATTTTGGTTTTAAGGATAAAAAGTCAAGCAGGGAAAGGGGCTAGGGAGCATACGGAGGGGGTGGCAGGTGGAAATTCTAGGTAGGGCTGGCCAGGAATGGCCTTGAGGAGATGACATCGGAGAAAAGACCCAGAGGACAGAGATGAGTTATGAGGATCCTGGGGAGAGTGTTCCAGGCAGAGGGAACACCAAGTGCAAAGCCCTGAGGTAGGACAGTGGGAAGGCCAGGTGAGGAAGAGTGAACGAGGGGGACAGGAGGACGGAGGAGCCCTGACCATGTGGGGTTCTGGAGACCACTGTGATGATTTGGGCTTAAGTGGAGCGAAAGGGGGCCTGAGAGGGTTTCAAACAGACTTGTGGCTGAATCCATGTTACCACGTGGGACCCATGTTATGATGGAGCCGGGGTCAAGTTATATGGGAGCAGCCTGTTGAAATGTGGGACCCTGGGCTTCCTTCCCTGGGCTGTGCGCCATAGAGGTGGCTCCCCCTGCTGGCTGCCTGCAGTACTGACTGCGAATCCCAGTCTCCCCGCTCCCAGCCTCAATGCCAGGATTTTTTTTGGAGCAGATGGAGGTCATAGGCCATAGTGCCCATCCTCCTGCCTCCAGGGGAGAGAGAACCAAGCTCATCCATGGGGCGCTGGGCCTGCTGGTAGGGCGAGTGGCGCCTGGACAAGGAGAGCTGACTGTCCCCCTCTCCGTTTCCCAGAAGCTGGGGGCCCAGCCAGAGCCCTGGTCCCGCCCTCGGTGATCGTTCGAGAAGGCTACCTGCTGAAACGCAAGGAGGACCCTGCCAGCCTGGCCACACGCTTCGCCTTTAAGAAGCGTTACTTCTGGCTCAGCGGGGAGACGCTGTCCTACTCCAAGAGTCCTGAGTGCCAGGTGGGGCCCGGCCCACGGTGGCAGTGTTTCAAGTGGTAGCCCCTTCATAGCGCTCCTCTTTGGACTTAGGGAAAAACTGAAGCCCAGAGCAGGGCAAGGGCTTGCTCGGGGCCCATAGCAACTTCGGAACTCCCAGCTCTCAGGCCAGGCTCTGCTGACAGCTTGCTGGCACAGGACAGGGGCAGGCACGCACCTACACGTGGTCATCCTCAGAACGTGCATGGGCCCAGACCCACCTCCAGGGTGGGGACACACAGGGTAAGGGCACTGCTCGACCAACGTGTCCCTCCCAGATCTATGTCCACACGTTGTACAGACGCCCATGAAATCCGATGAGCTTCCTTAGTGGGACATGCCAGCTGTGCAGACGCCTGCCTCCAGGCCTGCATTCATTCATTCATTCATTCATTCATTGCTGAATCACTGCTATGCACATTCCCATGACTCTGGCGTTCAAGGTCAGTACACATCCCTGTGCGTGCACATCCACAGCTGTGATGGCAAACACTGCCGAGGGGGCACATTCCTATTATCCCTGGTGGTGCAATGGTTAAGTGCTGGGTTGCTAAACAAATTAATAGTTGACCCCCTCCCCCCAGGAGCTTCATGGGAAAGACCTGACAGTCTGCTCCCATGAGGATTACAGCCTAGAAAACCCTACGGGGGCAGTTCTACTCTGTCACATAGGGTCGCTATGAGCCGGGATCTTGACAGCAACTAACATCATCTTCATTAAAGAGCAGGAAACTGATACCCAGAGAAGCTGTCATGTGCTTAGGGAGGCATGTGGCAGGGGACTCAGATGTGGACACCCAGTGGACAGCTCACACAGCACAAGACACTCAGGGTTGTGTCCTGCCTCTGGGGACATCCCCTGATACACATCCCCAGAAAGCTATCCCGGGGCCCAGGCCCCAGCCCCTGGCAGCACCTGTCCTCTCCCCAGATGCGCACGTCCGTCCCGGTGCCACACATCCGCGCCGTGGAGCGTGTGGACGAGGGCGCCTTCCAGTTGCCCCACGTCATGCAGGTGGTGACGCAGGATGGCGTGGGGGCGCTGCACACCGTCTACCTCCAGTGTAAGGTGAGGGGCTGCTACACGGGGCCGCGTAGGGGGCGTCCCGCGGGTCCCGCCCTGCCCCTGACGTCACCATTCCTGTAGCATGTGAACGAGCTAAACCAGTGGCTGTCGGCCCTGCGCAAGGCCAGCGCTCCCAACCCGGACAAGCTGGCATCCTGCCACCCTGGTGCCTTCCGCGGTGCACGCTGGACCTGCTGCCTCCAGGCCAAACGCTCAGGTGAGGGGGCGGGGTGGGCTTCAGGCTCCGCCTCCCCAGCTGTCAATCAGCGGGTGCCTACCTCCTGCCTGGGCCGGCTGTGCCACTGGGGCAAGTTACTTGACCTCTGTTCTTCAGCCTCTACAACTGTGAAGTGGGGTTGCCAATAGTGCTTAAGGAACCCTGGTGGTGCAGTGGTCCAGCCCTCAGCTGCTACCCAAAAAGCCAGTGGTTTCAACCCCCTAGTCACTCAGTGGGGGAAAGATGTGGCAGCCTGCTCTGGTAAAGACGACAGCCTTGGAAACTCTGTGGGGCAGTTCTACTCTGTCCTCTAGGGGCGCTATACGTCAGAATTGACTCGCAGCAACAGATGATCCAAACCAAGCCAAACCTACTGCCGTGGAGTCGGGTCTTACTCATGGCGACCCCTCCTTGGATTCCAGGTGGTATCACTGTGAAAGTGCTTATCTAATAGGGTTGTTTTAAGGAAAACCTGAGTATTCACCATATACGATACAGTAAAGCTTAAAACACTGCTCAGCCCATAACAAGTGTTCATTAAATGTGCGTTTTATAAGTGCCTACTATGTGCCAGGCATTTAGTGGTGAGTGGACAGATGTCTTGTCTGTTTTGAAGGAAGACAAGTGTATAACCAGACAAGTATAATAATGTTCTAAGTGCCAGGAAGAGGCCTTTCAGACTCCACAGAGTGCCTCTGAGCCAGCCCCGGAGTTAGGGGTCAAGGAGGGCTTCCTGGAGGAGGCACTGCCCAAATGTGACTAGAGAACAGTATGCAGTAAGCAAAGCTGGAGACAGGGGTGGGGTAAGGAGGAGTGTTCCAGGCAGAGCAGACGGCATGCGCAAAGACGTGGAGGTGAGACCGAGGGGACTGGAAGGCTGAGAAGGTTCTACTTCCGGGGTCCGGGGACACGGTGACGGGGCTGGGCAAGGCCACCGGTTGTGGGGCTGCAGGAAGTGGTGAGTTTGGAGAGATTTGAGAGGCAGAAGGAGTGGGGCTTGGTGGCTGCCTGGGCCGTGGGGGCTTCCAGGAGGGGAGGGCAAATCACTGACCGTGTTGTGTCCCCCTCAGCTGTGGGCTGCAGCCGCACACACTCAGCTGTCACCCTGGGGGACTGGAGTGACCCTCTGGATCCTGACGCGGAGACCCAGACGGTGTATCGGCAGCTGCTGCTGGGGCGGGACCAGCTCAGGTGGGTGCCCTGCCCGGCCCACACCCCTCCTGTCACCAGCTGGGCCGGCCGCTACTGTACCCCCCCCCCCCCCCCGTGTACGTTTACGCATTCTGTCCACGAGTGGCAGCCGAACCTCCTGGGGGCCAGGCCCAGGGCAGGGCCGGGCAGCCTCCTTGGGCTGGCCCTAACACAGAGCCATCTCGGGAGCTTCATACCTGGAGCTCGGAAGACACGGCCACAGTTCTCACAAGTCCTGACCTCCTGAGCTTGCCCTATGACCTTGGGCATGTCCCTCCCCCTTCCTGGCCTCTGGATCCCCACTGTTTAGTGAAACTGGCTGGCCTGGGTTCAAATCCTGACCCCACCACTTACTTACTGGCTACGTGATCTTGGACAAGTTGCTTAACATCTGTGTACCACATTTTCCTCATCTGGGAAACAGGGATAATAATAGTACCTACTTCATAAGGCTGTCCTGAGGTTCTAATGAACTAATATGGGTGAAGCACTTTGTAAGTGCCTAGCCACAATTCAGCCACTTTAACAGTTAAGCTACTGGCTGTGAACTTTCTCTGCGGGAGAAAGACCTGGCATCTGCCCCTGTAAAGATTACAGCCTAGAAAACCCTATGGGGCAGTTCTGCTGTCACATGGGCTCACTGTGAGTTAGAATCGACTCCAAGGCACCTAACACCATTATTATTAGGCTGTGTGACCTTAGGCAAGTTACGTAACCTCTCTGTGTCTCAGTGCTCAAGTTACCTCTGTGTCTCAGTGCTCAATTTGTGTAATGGAGCGAATAGGTTCATTATGATAATTAAATGAATGGATTCATGTCAAGGGCTTAGAAAAGTCCCTGGCCCTCTGTAAATGGTTGCTGACATGATGATAACATGGAGGAAGAGGAAGAGGAAAGGGGAGGAAGAGCCTGTAATCTCTCCTACAACCAACAGAGACTCTGGGACCTAGGCAGCAGGATTGGAGTCAATGTTTCTTTCCTTTTCAACTTCCAGGATGAAATTCCTGGAGGATTCCAACACGGGAACAAATCTGGAAGCAGACACAGAAAAGAGCCTCAGGGGTGCAGGAGGTAAGGGGTTGAGAAGGCTCCTTTTCTTTGCCCCTGTTCCTCCCCCACAACTTGCCAAGCTCACTCCTTCTCCCTGCCTCCCATCCTGTTTCTAGTCCATCTGAGTCGGGCATCTATGTGTGGCCCGGGGGCTCTGGTCCATTTTAAGGTGATCAGGGCAGAAGCAAGTAACTCGTTGGGTCCAGGCTATGGCAGTCCACCCTGGCCCAGCTGAGCCCCCACATCTTCCTCCCAGGGGAGTGTCCTAATGCCCTGGCCCGACAGAGAACAATGGCTGCCCGTTTGCTGGATGTGCTCCAAGACTTGGATCGAGCCCACGAGGAGTTCCAGCAGCAGGAGCGGGACCGTGCTGCCTCCAGCCCCCTTGGACCCTGAAGTGCCAGAGCCCAGCCTGGAAGGAGGAGCAGGGAGCTGTCAGGCCCTCCCCAGCATACCGTGGTCCCGGTGGCCGGGCCCATACCACCTTGCCGCTGTGGCTTGGAGGCTCACAGAGATGTGCCTAGTCTGAGAGCCTGGAACGAGGGCCACAAAAGCCCTCGGGTGGGGCACAGCCTTGCACTGAAGGAGCCTCACCCTCTGGCGTGAGGCAGACTTGAGTGAATGGGATGAGGAACTTGACTTACTGGATGGGCCTGAGGCCTCTGCTTGACCCAATTGGCCTCTCACCACACTAAGGCCAGCCTGGCTCTGAGCTGCTGGATTGTTACACCTGAAATTCTTAGGCCCGTGTGGCCATGTTTCCCAGACACTAAATGAGCTCAGCCCTTCCTATCTTCATGTCTGCCAACCCCTGTAACCCCTTCACTCTGCCCTTGGGCAAGAACCCCAACCACCACCTTTAGGATCAGGTACCCTCAGGAGAAACTGGGGCTGGGCTCCTCCACCCCTTGGAGTCTGAAATACCTTGGGCCAGCCTCTTTTTCCCATTTCTGAGCCTCAGTTTATAAAATGAGGGGGAGTGAGTTTAGTTGTGTGATTCTCAAAATTGATTGTACCGTGGTGCCTCAGAAGCCAGGGCGGGGTTTCTCAGACTGTGGTTCAAAACCCATCCATCCCCTTGGGGTGATTATGGACAATGCAGATTCCTGGGCCCCAACAAGAACTATTGCATCAGAATCTGAGGGGTGTGGAGGGCAGAAATCAATATTTGAACAAGTTCCTTAAGGGACGTGGCTGGCCATTAGGTTCGAGAACCAGATGGTTGGGGAGTGGCCAGTTTTATGCATTAGGGTTTTGATCGTGAACAAACCACTGAGGATACCTTGGGAGGATCTCCAAGGACTTGTTTGCAGACGTATGTGACTAGAGGGTGGGTCCTAGCTAGTGCCTATCCCCCCCCCAAATTTATATACACAAACATCCAAACCCACTGCCTTCGAGTTGATTCTGACTCATAGTGATCCTCCCATTGGGTTTCCAAGATCTTTACTGAAGTACACTGCCGCATCTTCCTCCTGCCAAGCAGCTGGTGGGTTTGAACCACCAACCTTGTGGTTAGCAGTCAGATACCTTAGGCACTGCACCACCAGCGCTCCTTTCCCACCTACCCAAAAGAACAAAACCTACTGCCGTTGCGTTCTGACTCACAGCGACCCCCTTTGGGTTTCCAAGGAAGTAAATGCTCCATCTTCCTTCCGCGGAGGCTGGTGGGTTTGGCGCTTACGCAGCAGGGGATGAAGGTGGGCCAGGAAAGATGGGCCGCTATCCCACAAGTGGCCAGCAGGGGGAGCCTGGAGCCGCAGCATCTTTCACAGTAACCCTGGCAACCAAGGATGTTGCAGAAGCTAGGATTTGTGGCTGGCAGATCCTGGGGTCTGCCCGTCTATCTATCCAACCTGCTTCTTCTCTTCAAGGGCAGGGGCTGGTGCTCCGAGGTTCCCATGAGCAGATCATGGTGTCTTAAGTCCTCTGTATTTTCTCAGCTCTGGGCCTGAGATTCACGGAGCAGTTTATGCAATGTCTTGTGTCTGAGAACCGCACTATGACCTCTGCTCTCTTGGAGAATGAGACTAGGAAGGCCTGGCTCCCCAACAACCTCCCCCTTTCGTTGCCCCAGGACAAGAGAATTATGGAGACCCTCCAGTCTGCCCCCACCTCCAGTTGCCCAAGGCTGAGAAAGGCAATGGCCCTTGGCTTATCATTTAGTTGTAAGCCATTATTCCCCCATACAGCCCCCTAGGAAGAGTCACCCACTCCCTCCTGGCAGGAAAAGGCAGGGTGAGGAGGAGAAAGACCATTTATTTCTCCACCCACAGTGGGACTGGTAGGTTTTCAAAAGAGCCATCACTGGCGTCCCTTTAAATCTTGGCTGACTTCCACCATGGCAGCCAATCAACAGAGGCGGAGCTGGTGAGTTGCCTGGGCAACGGGCCCCTGGTTGGCCAGAGACTTATCAGCCATCCCACTGCCCACTCCCAAAGAAAGGGAAATTGACTCTATGCTGTCCACTCTGGTTTTGAAGCACGCTTGCCTAAGTTAGGCCTTCTCATCTTGCTCTTGAAGCCAAACGCTCCAGCCTTTGGATCTTGAAGCTGGGAGTGATCTGGTGGAGAGGATGGAGTGGAAAGGGGAGGGGAAGAGAAGAGTGCCTTTATCTGGGACAGACATACAGCCTGGGAGTGGGAGAGGGGAGGAAGGAGGTCATGTCCCAGAAGGATGAAGACACACAAGCACAAAATAAGACACCCCCAGCCCCACCCCCTGTGGCTCATCCCTTTGCAAAACTGCTCAGTAATCTGGGGCTCGCACCCCATCAGCACACAGGTACCCATCAGTGGGCAGCAGGGATGGGTGATGACACAAGGGTGGATGAGGCGTGGAGGGCCAACTGAACATCCCAAGCCCTTGCCCAGAGGCCCCAGCAGGTCTTAGGTGCTTCACTGGAACACTCTGTCTGCAGACAAGCCTGTACAGATGCGACAGACACGGATGGGACCCACAATGGGCACCACGGGCTCTTCCTGTCTCTTCTGCCCCAGCTCGGGGGTAAGTAGAGGCACGTGTGTGTGCGAGCATGTGTTCAACAGGACGTGTGTGTGTGTGTGTGTGTATGTGTGTGTGTGAGGGGATGGGTCTGTCTTTCTGATAGGGAGGTCGCTGTGGTTTCTGGAACTCTCTCTCTGCGGCCCTCTCAGGGAGCTGTGGATCGGAGCTGGCTGGCCTACCAACATCCCAGCTGCTACCTTCTGCCTCCGTCCACAGACTCCTCCCCAGGCCTGCACCCGGGGCCCCAGGACTCTCTCGTTCAAGCCCTAGCCCTGGTAGAGGGAGGCTTGTGCCAGGCCAGGGGCAAAGCAGGAGGAAAAGTGGGTATAGCCTTTGGCCTCAGGCCTTGGCCGGAGCCTCGGACACACCCTGGGCTGTGAGCTCAGCCAGCACGTTGTCTAGGTAGCTGGCATCTGGGTAGCCGTGGCCTGTGAGGTTGGATCCAAACTCGGTCTTGTGGTGGATCTCGTTCCACACCACGGTGTCCGACTCGCCGGTGGTGTTGGACGTGCCGATAGTGAAGATTAGTCTGCGCTCCCAGGCGGTAATGAGCAACCGCAGCACCTGAGGGCGGGGTGGAGGGGGGGTGGGGTCACAGGAAGCCCCGCCCCCGCTGCTTGAGCCCCTTGAGCTCCACCTCCCTCCCCACTCCCCACTCTGCTTCATGGCTCCACTAGCACCTACCAGAAGGAGCCCAGGAGCTCTGGTAGCATAGTGCCTACGGCACTTGACTGCTAACCAGAAGGCTGGTGGTTCAAACCCACCAGCCACTCCTCGGAAGGCAAGTTGTGCAATCTACTTCTGTAGTGATACTGCTTCGGAAACCCAAGGAGGGCTTGCTATGAGTCGGGTCCATTTGACGGCATATAACAACAACAGAAGGAACCCTGGCGGTGCACTGGTTAATCCTAGGCTGCTAATAAAGAGAGGTTGGCAGTTCGAATCCACCCCATGGCTCTGTAGGGAAACGACTGCTTCCGTAAAGGTTACAGCCTAGGAAACCTTATGGGGCAGATCCACTCTGTCCTACAGACTCACTGTGAGTCAGAAGGGACTTGATGGCACCCAACAACTACCACACCTACCAACCATCACCATCAGCTGCTGTGGACTCCCTCCCACTCCTGGCGACCCCACGGTGTCAGAGCAGAACCGTGCTTCCAATGGCTGGTATTTAGGATGTAGACTGCCAGGCCTTTCTTCCAAGGCGTCTCAGTGTGGACTCAAACCTCCAACTGTCCATTAGCATTAACTATTTGCACCTCCGAAGCGCCCTCGGAAGCACTGAAGACTGCCCTCCTTGGACTGCGGGGCTGGGCCACTTCTTTCCCCTTTGCATGTCCTGGACTGACTCCCCTCTGGGCTTCCTCAGTAGTGGCTCTTTCCAAGTTACCCCCAGTTTCTTCTCGGATGGAGGGAGGCCTGCACATGGAGGGCCTTCAGCTGGATTTGGTTTTGGCCCTCCCAGTGCACAAAAAAAGCCACAACCTAGAAATTTGCCATGAAAATCTAGCTTTCCGGCTCCTCTTGAAAAACACATGAAAAGTAAAACAGACCACGTATAGTATGGTTAGGGGCCTGGATGCTGGGCTCTGATCTCAGCTCCACCACTTCCTAGCTGGGTGACCATGTGCAAGTTGCTTGCCCCCTCTGAGGCTTTGTTTCCTATCTGTAAAATGGGGTCAGAAGCCCTTGACCTCAGCAGGTTGGTAGAGAGACAGTGTGAAGTGCTCAGCAGGCCTGGGGGCAACGTAGAGAGCTGTGGTAAACACTGTCCAGCCACCGGTGCCGGGAGGGGTTTGAGAACAGCGACTGGGGACCGTGGGGACCCAGCCTCCTCCTGCGCTTTCACGAGCAGGCACCCACCTTCCGGCCCTTCTCGTTGTTGGGTAGATAGCAGTGCCGTGGGAAGCCTCTTGCCGTGAACTTCTTGCCGGGGTTGGGGTGCTCAGGGCCCTGTGGGGAGGGGCTCATCAGATCCTCAGCAGGACTTGAACCGGGGGGAGGCTGGAGCGGGTAGGGGCACCGGGGTCCGAGTGAGCGAGGGCTCACCTGGATGCCTGTGGGGATGTCGTACACTATGCGGATGGTCTGGGTGTCTGCAAAGCCGGGCAGCGAGTGTGGGATGAGGTGGAACTCCATCTTCCCAGGCGGCTGGGTACCTGTTTTCTCCCCGTAGATGGCCTTGCACGTGGGGCACTGCAGGCTGCCATCCTGGGGTCGGGAGGCAGGTGGTGAGTCCTCAGGTGTCCTTGCCCTGCCGGCCTCCTGCCCACTGCCCACCCGCTGCCCTGTCAGCGCACCTTGTTGCCATTGGAGTACATTGCCACGAGGCACAGCAGGTGATACACGTGGCCACAGCGGCCCAGGCGGCCCACGAGCTCGGGCCGCACGCCCTTGTGCCGCAGGACGCCCTCGTAGCCAGAGGCGGTGACCAGTCGTTCCATGCAGATGGTGCAGTCCTGGGGCACATAGGGGGTGAAGATGACACCCCAAGCCGCCGAGGGCAGCGCATCACCCTCCACATAGCCGTTTGCCAAAGGGAAAAGAATCCATCACAACTCCTAGTGCCCCTACAGGACACAGTGGAACTTCCCCATATGCAATCTTCATGGGAGCGAACTGCCAGGTCTTTACTCTCACGGAGTGGCTGGGTGGGTTCAAACCGCTGACCTTTCAGTTAGCAGCCGAGCCTTAACCCATCCCACCAGGGCTCCTTAAAGGGAGAAGGGACCCCCCTCATATGAATATAAATGACATAAGAAGAGATCCATCCCTCACCTCCCACCACCCTCCAGATGGACTAAAGACTTAAATACCAAAGGCAAAAGTTCACAAGACTTCAGCAGAAAATACTAGTGATAACACTGAGACCTCGGGGTAGGCAAGAATGTTTTAACACAACACAGAAGTGATTAAGCATCAAAAGATGCGTGAATGTTATTACGTCCAACCTAAGCATGTCTGTTCATCAACAGACATCTTAGAGAAAGGCAGAGGAAAACCCAAAACCAGTCGCCTTGACTCCATTCCAAGTCATGGTGACCCCACAGTGTGTCAGAGTAGAACTGGCTTCCTCCACAGGGTTTTCAGCGGCTGTGATCTGCAGAAGTAGGTCACCAGGCCTTCTGAGGTGCCTCTAAGTGGACTCCAGCCACCAACAGAGCCAACCAGGAACTGGGACCATGGGGCAGAGAGGCGGGGGCTGGGCTACAGATCCCCCACACACACCCCGCCCCCAAGCTCACCTCATCAGGTGGGTTCTTAACCTTCTGCATGTACCTTCGAACCACGTCCTCAGGGTTCTTACCTGCAGGGGCACAGGGGGACAGGGTCAGATAGGGGGGCAGGGGTCCACAGGGTGAGATGTTGGGGTCACTGGGTGGTTGATGGGGATGGAGGCAGGGAAGAGGAGCTGACGTCAGGAGTCAGATGAAGGAGAGTGGATGGGTCAGAGGGCCTGGAGTCCAGGGTGAGAGGGGCTGGAGTGTGGGGTGAGAGGGGCTGGAGTCCGGGGTGAGAGGGGCTGGAGTGTGGGGTGAGAGGGGCTAGAGTGTGGGGTGAGAGGGGCTGGAGTGTGGGGTCAGAGGGGCTGGAGTCCCGGGTCAGAGGGGCTGGAGTCCCGGGTCAGAGGGGCTGCAGTCTGGGGTCAGAGGGGCTGGAATCTGAGTCAGATGGGCTGGAGTGTGGGGTCAGAGGGGCTGGAGTGTGGGGTCAGAGGGGCTGCAGTCTGGGTCAGAGGGGCTGGAGTCTGGGGTCAGAGGGGCTGGAGTCTGGGGTCAGAGGGGCTGGAGTCTGGGGTCAGAGGGGCTGCAGTCTGGGTCCGATGGGCTGCAGTCTGGGGTCAGAGGGGCTGCAGTCCGGGTCAGAGGGTGCACGCGGGAGGCATACTCTTCTTGAGGTGCTTCTTCTTGGTCTTGCGGCACACGCCGGACACCCCGGGCACCGGCCTGACATCACTTTTGTTCACCGGTGGTGGGTGCAGGATGGGCTTGGGGGCCCGCGTCAGGCACACAGGCAGCCCGGCCGCACATAGCAGGATCCCGGTCATCCCTGGGGGAGCGCAGGGTCATCAGGGCGGGGCGCCCACGCTGGGCCCCACCCACACACCCACCCACCGTCCTGCTCCGGAGGTGGGCAGATGGGGATCCTCAGGCCCCTCCCCGCAGGCACGCGCAGGGGGGCAGTCTGCAGCAGCCCCGTGGAGCTCCTCCTCCAGGGCCTGCCCACTTGATCTCCCTGGAATCCTAAGGCCCCCAGGGGTGTGCGTGGTGGGAGGGGAGGTGCCTTCCCGGGTCGCCCACTCAGCCCCATCCCAGATTAAAACCAAGTTGTTTTATGTGCCCTCGAGTCAGCTCTGACTCATAGCGACCCCTCCTTGGGTTTCTGAGGCAGTATCACTATAGAAGTAGGATTGCCCAACCTTCCTTCAGAGGAGTGGCTGGAGGGTTTGAACCGCCAGCCTTCTGGTTAGCAGTCAAGTGCCTTAGGCACTATGCTACCGGGGCCAGAACCTCACCCACAAGCCCCAGGATCCCACCCCCTGGTGTCAAGAGGCCCAATAGTAGGGGACCTTTTCTCCAGGCACCGCCCATAAGCCCCACACCAGGCTGGATCTCACCTGCCAGGGCAGGATGAACCGGCCCGGTACCATTCAAGTTCTTCACTGGAAGTGCGGGCACCCTACAGTGGGAAGAGAAGGGGACACGGCTGGACTTCTGTCGTCCACACCAGGAGGTCAGGGGACCTGGCCTTCTGGCTGGGTTCCTGCTGTGTGTGATCCTGGGCACACCTGACTCCTTTGTGTCTGTCTCTAGAATGATCACTGGGGAGCTCCGCCCTTGCTCTGACAGCCTTCCGTTAGGGGGTGGGGTGTGGCCAGGGCTGACCCTTCCTGGTCCCCCACGGGCCCTCCACACATGCACTTGGCTACAACTTCCTCTCATTGGTAGTGCCTGAAACCCAACAGTTATTTGGCCATTCTGGCATCTCAAAGTTTGGAGCACTAATCCCCATAAAAGATTCCAGGACCCAGGGATTCAGTAAATTGGAAACACTTCACTGTCTGGCTCTCAGAGATCCACAACATAGCTGAGCACATTAGAGGCCCTGATAAGTCCTGCAAAATGAAATAACAATGTTAATCCTGGTTTTCCAACCAAAGTTATTTAATGATGGAACATTTTTTCCCTTCTGGAATATTTACCGAGGTCAGCTTCTGTGACTAAGGCATTGTCCCTTCAAACGAAGAACTGCTGGGGAAAATTCCCTTTTTCTCCCCTTCCCCAAAATAGCTCTGACTTCTGGAGCCAGCCAAAACACCTTTCACAAGGGGGGACCAGGTTTGCTGGTCTGATAGAGCCTAGTGGAACCCCTGAGACTATGGCCCCTAGCTGCCCTTTAGATCTGGAATTGAACCCACACCTGTGGCTTCCAGCCAAACAAAAGACAGGCATAGGAATCAAACATTTACCTGAGATAGATACACTCCTTGGAGAGAACAATCATGGGAGAAAGAAGGGCTGTGTATGCACAGGGAGACAGCTCAGGGGGCAGGAGTACATGGAGGGATGGACACAGGGAAGAGGTAACTATCGGGAGGAAGTGGGAGGGGAGCTGTTGCATTGTGGTAAACTGTGGTTAATGTCATGAGACAAAGTGTATGTGAACTGCTGTATGGAAAGTGAATTTGCTCTGTAAATTTTCACCCAAATCACAATTAAAAACAAAACCAAAAACAACCTTTCACATCTCAGCTCAACCACTGCTCAGTTGACACACAGCAGGCCATCCCCCCTCTCATGAGCCTATTTACGAGAAAAACATATAACATGGTACTGTCTTATGTTTACTGTGAGGTTTGTATGACATTCTGCATGTCAAGGCTGGCTGCAGACCTGGGATCCAATAACAATTCTATTAGCCACCTTCATCACCATCATCATTGTCCTTGTCCTCATTGTCACCATCAGTGTGTAACCCTAGCTGAGTCATTTCATGTCTGGACTCAGGCCACTGAGTCAGGGTGCAACTCCTCTCCGGCTCGGACAGGAAACCAGGAAGGTGCCGCAGTGATGACCTTGATCCTCAGTTTCCTTATCTGTAAAATGAGGATACTACTCCCTCCCTTACAGGGTTCCTGGGAGGAGGCCCGGATAAGAAAGTGTGCTGGAGTCAGTCCTGCACCTGCCCAAGTGTCCATGACTTTAGGGCCTGGTTTTGTGAGTGAGTGGGTGCCTTGTTGATGATAAGAATGGAACCCCAGATGGATAAGATTTGATGAAGAGTAGTGGTCTGAGGGTCAGGGAGCAGCCTTAAGGGATGGGAGGATGGGGCCAGTGACAGCACCAGGGTCCCAGGGCAAGGAAAGGAGCTGCCATGGTCCCTTTTGCCTGCCTGCTGAGGTCTGAGCCTAGCCAGGGCTGCTGGCCTGGTCACCTGTCCCCAGAAGGCACACCATCACCAGAGAGATAGGCTGGGCACTGTCTACAAGCAAACGGGACCCTTGGCAGGCTTGGGCCCGGAAACACACATACACACACACCCTTACGCCCCTGGGGAACACAACCTACTGGGGGGACATCACACACACATACATACACGCACACAGATTCAGATAACACATGCATACACACCCAAGGAACAAATGCCCACATGTATGCACTTTGCAACACACATACACACCATGCAATACCCCCCACCCAAGGAACACACACTACTGGGGGAACGCATCACTCACACATGTACACAGATTCGGATATACACCATACATATACACACAGACACACCCAGGGAACACCCTCCCACATGCACACACCCAGACACACACACACACACATTAGAGCATAATGCATGTATACATACCCACACAGGCACACACAGACATACTCAGGGAACACTCCCCCTCCCCACACACAGATACCTGGACAACTGTACACAAATACATACACAGATACCTGGACAACTCCACACACATACACAGTCCAGGGAACATGCGCACAATCATGTACGCAGATGCTTACCAGACTTCTACTTTATAGGAAAGTGTAGAGGCGTTTGCCTAAGCTTCTCCCCTTCCTGATCCCCAACAAGACTGTAGGCAAGGCACTAGTATCCTTACATTACAGATAAGGAGAGTCAGGATCAAGTTCCATGACTTGCTCAGGTTGTCCTTGCAATTACAGTAGCGTTGGCAACACCTCTAGTGTAGACACAAGGAGCCCTGGGGCCTTCATAGTTAAATGCTTGGCTGCTATCTGGAAGGTTGGCATTTGGAACCCACAGCTGCCCCACAGGAGAAACGGGCTGGCTATCTACTGCCGTAAAGATACACAGCCTAGGAAACAATACAGGGCAGTTCTACCTTGTCACACAGGGTCACTATGAGTTGGAATCAATATGATGGCACAAAACCACAGTAGAGATACACTGGTTAGAGTCCTCAACATCTCCAGGTTTCTCCCCACCCCCTTCATTCCTCTCCAGGGCTATTTGTAAAATATGGAGAAAGACAAATATTTATCACACACATACCATCACTCTTGTCTACTGTGGGGGGGGAAAAGAAAAAAAAGAACTCACTGCCATCGAGTCGATTTCAACTCATAGTGACCCCTTTGAGTTTCCAGGGCAGTAAATCTTTACGGAAGTAAATTGCCCAGTCTTCCCTTCGTGGAGTGGCTCATGGGTTTGAACCACCAACCTACTGGTTAGCAGTCAAATGTCTTAGGCGCTACACCACCAGAACTCCTTGACAGACATCACTAATCAATCACCACATTCTCTCAAGCTGAGCAGAATCCTCAACATAGCTCTCCAGGCAGCTGCTACCCATTGGTCGTTTGCTAGCCCAGGTCCAGTGGAGTCACTAGAGGGGTGGAGGGAGTGCAGACCACAGCGTGACACTGTCGGAGGGGTGACACCAACATGACTGTAAAGTTTCTGTGAAACGTTTCGGCAGAAATTTATTATTTCTTATAAAAACATCCCTGTAGTTAGTTATACTAACAGAAACATTTTTTTGTAAGCCTAGCTTACATGTATCAATATACCAACAAGCCTAAAACTCTACACTAATTTACTTTTTGACCCTTCTAACGTGTTCCAGGAGCTCTGGTAGTGTAGTGCCTAAGGCATTTGACTGCTAATCAGATGGCTGGTGGTTCAAACCCACCAGCCACTCCTCAGAAGGAAGGATGGGCAATCTACTTCTGTAGAGATACTACCTCGGAAACCCAAGGAGGGGTCACTATAAGTTGGATCTGACTCGACTAGATGGCAGTGAGTTTTTGCTTGTTTGTTTGTGTAACGTGCTCCAGTCTGAGCTGTCATTATGACCCAATTACAATGAGGCTTCAAATCATGTGATTTCATCTGCCCATGCTCCAAGAATATGATGTTGTTTCTGTTGCTGAAGGTGTTTTTATAGTTGTTGATTTTGTCAAATTTTCTGGTGTTTTAGCTCCAAAATTGTGGTAATTAGTTATTTGTGAACCTCTATCAATAACTGAGGAGCTCTGATGGCATAGTGCCTAAGGCACCCAACTGCTAACCAGAAGGCTGGCAGTGCAAACTCACCAGCCACTCCTTGGAAGGAAGACTGGGTGATCTACTTCCATAGAGATACCACCTCGGAAAACCAAGGAGGGGTTGCTATGAGTTGGAATTGACTCGACAGTAGTGAGTTTTTGTTTGTTTGTTTGTTTTTATCAATAACTAAGAAGTTCTGGAGGCATAGTGGGTTAAAACCATTTGACTGCTAACGAGAAGTTCAGTGGCTCAAACCCACTAGCCACTCTGTGAGAGAGCAATGAGGCAGTGTGTTTCTGTAAAGATTTACAGCCTTGGAAACCCTGTGGGGACAGTTCTACTCTGTCCTATAGAGTCGCTATGAGTTGGAACCGACTCAATGGCAGAGGGTTTGGTGTTGGTTTTTATACCAATAACTTTTTTGAGGATGAAGCAGTAATTAAAAGGAGAAAAATAAAAAATGGCTTTGGCTCAGTTACTTCTAATGTTATAATGTAATTCAATGTAGAAAGAGTTTACACAACAATTTTGTTGCTAGCATTTATATAATCTATGAAATAATTAAGCAATTTATGGCTAGTTTACCACATATTATTCTATGCTTAAAATTAATAATAAACACTACTAAGGATTCTGTGTGGTCTGGTATGGGAGGAGGTCCACTGGGGTTGTGTGTGTGACATCAGCCCTGGTGACACCACCACCAGGTCTATCTAGTCCTGATCTAGCTGATGACCAGGACTGGTAGAGCCTTTGGCCTGAGAAGCAGGCAGAGGGCACCCCAGGAAGGGAAAGTTTTAGATTTCAGCAGGCTAGGAACTTCCGGAACCCCTTAGAGCCCTGGTTTTGGTTCATAACAGTCTTGCTTGTGGGAAGAAAGTTGTGAGTGGGGCGTGATTGTGGGGCTGTTTTTTTTATTTACCCTTCAGTGAGCTGGGGGACAGTCCCAAGGTGGCCCCAGCCCCTTGTGATCCATAGGCCCCCTGCGAGAACCCTGGGTAGCAGAGTTCCCACGCTGCGCTGAGCGTGGGAGCCGCCTGGGCTCCCTTTGATGTGGTACACGTGGTTTCCTCCCAACCAGTGAGAACATCCTCCATCCTGGACAAGCGACCACTGCCCACAGGCCTCCGGGAAGCGGGGCTGGCCCCTCACCC